CTCTTCTCTCTCTTCTCTCTCTTCTCTCTCTCTCTCTCTGTCTCTCTCTCTCTCTCTCTCTCTCTCTGTCTCTCTCTCTCTCTCTCTCTCTCTCTCTCTCTCTGTCTGTCTCTCTCTCACTCTCACTCACACTCTTACTCTCACTCTCACACTCACGCTCACGCTCACACTCACTGTCACTCACTCTCACTCACTCTCACTCACGACTCCACTCCCCTCCACTCCACTCCTCCTCACCTCCAGCTCCAGCTCCCCCTGTCCTCCCTTCCCCTTCCCCTTCCAGCCCAGCCCATCCCAAGTCCAGTCCTGTCCAGGGCTGCTTGCCAGCAGTCTTGCACGGACTCCCTGTCGCCGCTTATCGCTGCTAGACAGACTGCCGTGGAACTCGATTGGCCGATTCGTGCTTCAACTTTGCAGGCATAAGAGCTGCCGTGTGAGAAAAGGTAGGTACCACACATTTCGCTTCATTGGGTATTCCGTTCCACTGTGTCACGTATACTTATCTGTTGGCCGCACAAGTGCAGCTACCCCTCCTCCAGGGATGTTGCTAACAGTTGTGGGTGGCTTGTATGACCAGCATCGAAGCGGGTTGCCTTTGGTCGAGGGGCACTGTTTGTGCTGGAAATCGTGGAGGTGGATGAGGCCTTCATGTGCGTAGATCCGGGTGAGTATAAGTCTTGTTGTGCACTTAGTATCTGCAGGGTGACGGTGCTTACTTGGCTTTCTACCCTGAAGGAGGACCATTGGGGAGGGAAGCTATCGCGAGGTTGCAGGTTGTGTTGCCCTTATGCTGGCCGGCCCAACAATACTTTGCTCGGTGGGTGCAGGTGGGGGGCCTGCCTCGTGGTTGCTCTGTTCCGAAACAAACACGCCCTCGTGACCTGGTGCTAAATCGAGGGCTTGTTGTTCGTCATCGCATCGTGGTTGCGTCAGGGTGGCGTTGTTGGCTGCCGTTGTTAGTTCTCCTGTTTTTGTCGTGCCTGCCTGCCTCTTTAAGTTTTCGTGCTGGAGGTGTCGCCTGTTCGTTCACTCGCAGATTCACTCCCTCCACTACGCTCCGCTCCGCTCCGCTCCACTCCACTTACTCGCTCTTTTGCTGCTTTGCTCCTTCACTCCTTCGCTTCTTCGCCTTCGCTACAAGTGCAAGTATTTCGTTCGGGAACTGAACAAGGCACCCGGCCACAACCAGATTAGATGCACAGTCTTGTAAGTCTTATTTGTAGAATCTTTCAGCACTTTTCCGCTGGAGCTCTTTTCTGGGATCATCAAGCCGAGCCAGGCTTCAAACGGCAAAACTGATTCAGTACCAACAGAGGCACAGGGCCTTAGCGAACACATGGTGCGGTACATCAGCGAGGCAAATGCAAGCTGTATCAGTGGAGGCTCTTGCTACAACAGAGCATCCTCCATGGACAGTTGCAGTTGCTATTTCAGACGAGACAAGTTCAGTTGCGTACCATGTTGGTGCGACAACCAGAACCGGGAAAACTGCAGTGAGGAAGTTCAACGGTGTACCGTCAAAGGTGTGTGTATTACACTCTTGCCCATCGGAGGCATAGGTCAACAACAGACCATTCTTACTGCTCACTCTTCGCTTGTGCTTGTCGAATGGACCAAACAAGTTTATGAGCCTGCATCCCTGCATGAAGACAGCAAGCTCGGCAAGCCCGTCATTCTGCGTCTTCTGCTAATCTTCCTCATCTGCACGCTTGTTCTTTTCCGAGGTGCCGAGTCTTTGGCTTGCTACATGCAAATCCGAAAGCAGGTCCGGGCGTGTCGGCGGGTTTTGCAACGAGTTGGATTAGGTGACGGCATCTCGTTTTCAGGACGCAGCTTGTGCAGTCAGGTTTTTGGATCTGAGTGGTCTTTGCCCCGGTGCTCGAAATGTGCGCTTCGCTTTGCGTGTGTGTTGCCGGAACCTTTCTGAGGTACCCGCCTGACGGCCGACTCAGTCGGTCACGTCGCGAGCGCCTTCATGGGCCAGTGGGACGCCAACGGCGAGGCCGTAGCTGTGCTATCCGCCGAGAGATTTGTCTGGCAGCCTTGTCTGGCAGCCTTGCAAGCATCTTGCCCTTGGTGAAGCGCGTCCTTTCAAAGCAGTTGTTTTCAATCGGCTTGCTCCCGCTACCCTGAGCAACCATTCATGCAGCAAAGGACGCTGGTTGCACTTGAGTCGAAAGTGCATGTCCATTCCAAAACTCATAGTCATAGTCAGGGTGGCCGCTGCCAGGATTTCTTTGCCGATTCGTACTCGAGATGACCCACAGGCACCTCCAGCACAGCCACCGTCACCTTCTGATGCTGCACGGACAAGATAAGTGTTGGAATGTGGCTCCACTCCACAAGTCCCTAGACGCCCACGCTGTGTGTGGTGCCGAGGCTTTCTTCAACCCGGAAGGTGGCAACTGTGGCAACTACAATCCGGCAGTTCCAGCTGCAAGCTCCGTTCTCTCGCCAATGGCGGCGTACTTCGATGGCCCCGCATCGTTCTTCAACAGCGGCGCTGGAGCAATGGGCTCTGAAGCAATGGGCTCTGATGGACGTCCGGTACGCCAGGGCCAGGATGCTCTGCCGACTCCAGAGCAGAGAGCTTCACAGACACAGAGAGCTCCAGTCATGCATGCGCTGCATGCGCCGCATGCGCCGCATGCGCCGCATGCGCCGATGTGCATGCAGCCAGGGATGGCAGCTCCATTCATGCTACATCCTCAGAATATGCAAAGCGGTGTGCCAGTCGCACCAGTTTCACCTGGCTTGCAGCCACCGATCTGTGGGATGGGACCAACCCTGCTACAATCCCGCACTCCATCCCAGAGCCAGGCAAAGAAGAAGGAGAGAGACTCGGAACAGAAAAGATCGCAGGGCCGAGCTCCTTGCCCGATCGCCGTGTACGTGGACCTGTCCTCCCTCCGTCTTCGCGACAAGAAGTAGACAACGTCCAGTCTCTGCACGCTGAGAGGGTTATCTGGGTATGCAGCGTGCCTTGGCCTTTCTCATAATGATAGTGTCTCCAGAGTGCAATCGCACAGTTGGATGCGACATAGAGCATACTGAGGTTGAGAGATTCCTCAGCTGTCTCCGGTGTGACAACCACCCGGCGGCAATTGTGTTGCACATGCCAGAGCAGTATCACTTACCTCAAGATGAGAACGAATTAGCAGTAGATGTTGACACAAAGTTCACGCAACGGCTGGAACAGGCCTGTCCCGAAGCTGGGACTATAGTCATGCACACTGCTCTCTTGCTCTTGCCATTTCAGAATGCACGGATGCCTCTAGACCAGTTCCGGGCAAGAGCAAGCTAGCAACGTCTATCTGAGGGCCTAGCATCAACTACCGGCTCTGCGCTTTGCAGATAGGGTTGAGCAGCCCATTCACACAAATTCCCGACCTTTTGCGTCTGGGGGGCAGGGCATTAAACGCGAGTGAATTATCTGGCCAAACAGTGCTGCTAGTAAGCTATTCGTTGATTCGAATTTTGAGATGTCGCGCTTTTCACCATTGCATAGAGGGAGGACTCACCTGTTTGGCTTTTGTTGAACTCAGTCCTGCTGGGTTCAATCTCAAGTGTCTGTGGATTGATAGACTGATTCTATTTCGACATCAGGTGAAAATAACATCAAATTTGCTTGTGCCTCTGTGATCTGTTTGTTCCACGTCATTCAATCCCTCCGCTTGGGGGTCAGCGGCATGTCCAGTAACGAGGCGTGCGTGCTTGACTGCTGTGCTTGTAAAGCTTGCACACCAGCTCTGTGCCCCTGTGGCCGGAGACTCCTTGGTGACTGTCCTCCTTCACTCCGGTGCACCGGTCCTCATGGCTCCATGGAAAAAAAAGCCTGCTGCTTCCCCATGTTCTGTGTTCATGTCGAGACAGGCTTGGAGGTCAGGGCCCCGAGATTTCTCCTGGCAGGAACGTGTGATCGAGCAGCACAGTTGCAGAAGCGCCGCTTCAGGTGCAGGACTGCATCAGGGCTCGGCCAAACACATCGATTGCTGGGCCGCTGCGCACATACTCATAGTGAGCACAGCCCTTTGAATCATGTCGTGTGACTTCATTGGTGTCATGCTTGTTCGTCTTGCGTCGGCCAGCGGTGCTCATGCGGTAGGCCTCCAGTCAGACTGCAAGTGTTGAGCCAGGTGCTTTTGTGCCTGTGCTGGATCTTTCGCACAATGCATTAGAGGCCGGAGTTGACATGCAAGCTGCAGGGCTTTCGAGCTGTCGGCCCGAGTGAACTGTCCCTGTCCCGACCAAGGATTCTGGAGTGGAGGCCAGGTTGGCTGGAAATTTGTTGGTCCGCAGCTGCCAGCAGGTAGTACTACTATTACGACTACTACTACCCCTACTAACTACTACTACTACTGCTGCTGCTGCTGCTGCTACTACTCCTACTACTACTACTACTACTACTACTACGACGACTGCTGCTACTACTACGGCGGCGACGACGACGACGACTGGTGCTACTACTACGGCGGCGACGACGCTACTACTGCCACTGCCACTTTACTGCTACTACTGCTACTACTGCTACTGCTACTGCTGCTGCTACTACTACTACTACTACTACTACTCCTGCTACTACTGCTGCTGCTGCTACTACTGCTACTACTACTACTACTACTACTACTACTACCATCTTGGCTGACTAGACGGAGAGGCCCTCCAAGTGTAGGATTCGTTCTTGGTGTGCCATTGGCGACTGCGTATCCGAGTAGCCGTGATCAAGGAAAGTTTCACGAATTTCCGGCTCTGCTCGAGATATCAAGGCATTCGTCTTCGACATATGCTAGGGAAGCTGCTGTTAAGGCTGATAACCGCTGTCTGCGTGCTTGGAGCAGAAGTTGGGCTGACATGCCCGCCACAAAGGCAACAAAATCCCTGCTTCACCGGCCCGAAAATACACGCGTGAGCTCTACCAGAGGGAACAGATGCGGCTGCATTTCAAGACGGTTTTGGGACAGAGTATGCTCAGAGCAGCGAGTGGCTGGCTTAGTGACCCGGGGTACTTTAACCACTGGGACATCATGTGGGCTGTGGCCCATCCTGCAGCACTGCTCGTGGCCTCCAGGAGGTCACCGTATCCCCCGAACGAGGATGAATTACAGCGCTGGTGTGCTTTGTACTATCCCGACATTAGCAGTACGTTGTGGCCCGATGCTGGAGATCCCTACTGCTTGGGATTGGTACAACTGCACAGCATGGACGAGGAGTCGGGTTTTTCTTTCAGGCTCTTGCTTAGGAAAGCGCCGAGCCCTCCGGCACCTTGGTGCAGCAGGCGCCGGCGTAGATGCAGACGCGGTTGGCTTAAGTGGGACGGATTTGCCTGCATCAGAAAGTCTTGCGATGGGGCCTGGACTGCAGTGACGGAGGGCATGTGCCCACTGCATGTGATTAAATTCTTGTTCAGACTTGTGAGATGGCATCTCTTTCTGAGCTGCATTCTGTGTTGTCAAGTGCATGCTGGGGCTCAAAGCGGAAGTCCATGCCACGGGGTTGGGGTTCAGAAAGCGACGAGACAGATGACTTCGCGGCCCCTTCACTCGGATGATGAGCTGCCGGACGGTCCTTCGCCGATCCTGGACCCTTCCGGGGCCGTCCTCGTCCTCGGGTAGATCTCCGCAGCAGCCTGGAGCATATATTCATCAAGTTGTGCAAGTGTGTGGCAGTTGTGATTGCGAGCACGTTTCTGGAGCTGCTGCATTGCGTGACTGGGGATCTCTGCTCGGAGATCCCGGATGAGAGCCTCGCTGTCAATGCGAGTGACTGGCTTTGCTTCTGGAGGCCGCCACAGACGATAAGGTAGGTTGATGAATGCGAGGATCGGGTGATGTGTGGCACTAGTCGGGTCTCTCCAACATGCAACCGGAAATTCTGTCATGACCCCCGCCTTGCGTGCCGTCTGATTCGCCTGAGCCTGCTTGGTGATGATGAAGTCGATCTGAGACTCACAGCTCAGGGGGTCTTTGATGCCTGGAAAGACTGGGCTCACTTCACTCGAGCGCACAGGCTGCATAAAGAAAGATCGCTTGCTCGGAGCAAGCTTCGCAGAGATGAGCTACTGGACCAGGCGCAGCAGGCGGCTCAGCTTGGGGACATGCACAAAACCTGGACGACGGTGAAAGCCCTGGCACCCAAGTCCAAGCCCAAACGCCTGCAGTTGCATAAAGATGGTCGAATGCTGTCGCCTACGGCGGAACTACAATGGATTGTAGAAGCTTTCGGAGAGAAGTTTGGCAGTTCATTTGCGGGTCCCATCACATTCCATGCACGCGAACATCCACCTTTTCAGGTGCAAGCGGAGCAGGTTCAAGAAACTACTGGGTGCGCTTCAGGTGCGTAAGGCCGTTCCACCGGGAGCGGTGCCCTCAGCTGTGTGGAGAATCTGGCTTCATCACGGATCGGGTCAATGAGGCCTGGAGAGGGCCAGAGCTCAAGGTGGAACAAGCCTGGGCGGATGCCGATGTGGCGTTGCTACCTGGGAAAGAAGTCGGCTTTTACCCCCTTGGACATGCGCCCAATAGGGCTCCAACACCCGGTGAGTAAGGTCTTCATGAAGATTTTGATTCAGACCGCCAGGACCACCATCACGAATCTTGTCAAGGAGCAAACGGCTTATGTCTCCGGCAGGAGCACCTCCACTGCCATCAAGATGGTCATGGAACACTGCTCCAAAGTTCGCCATCAGTGCAAGCAGGCCCGGTTGAACATCCACCAACAATTCATGGGGCTTGAGCGAGCTCCGTGTAGCGGAGGATTACAAATATGCTTGGACATGTCGGCAGCCTTCGACTCAGTATCATGGACAGACATTCGGGCTGCTTTGGAGTTGGCACGCATAGATCCATCGGTCCGAGAACTTCTCTTACAATGGCTCCGCCAGGTGCGATACCGGTTTCATCATCGTTCGAACACGGCGGTCAATGTCCCCTCTTGGGGACTCCGCCAAGGCTGTGTGGCCAGTCCATATACACAGTTCTGATCTGCAGGGCGATTGACCAGAAGTTCGATCCCGGATGGATGGCGGAGCACGGTTCCTTGTAATTGTATGCTGATGATGCTCACTTCAGATGGGAATTCCGAGGGTTCTCTCAATTCGAGCATGTCATGAAAGAAGTTCGTCAGGTTCTTGCTGCTTTTAGTCGATTCGGCTTGTGTGTGAACCAGGACAAAACTAAGGCGGTGCTTGCGCTTACAGGTGCACTACGTAGCAAACTCAGCAAACACTACATTCGCAAAGCGGGTGAGGACCGACACCTTATTCTGTCGCCGGGTGATCCTCGACAGTGGCTGCCCCTAGTAGATCAAGCTGAATATCTTGGCATCATCGTCTCATATCAGAACTTTGAGGCACAACCGGTCAGACATCGAGTGGCCAAAGCCAACTCCAGAAGGTGGGTGCTTGCTCCGATCCTTCATTCGAGACGGCTGTCCCCCAAGTACAAATTGAACATCTGGAGGTCCTGTGTGCAGACTTCCATAACGTATGGATTGCACTGTATGGCGCTCAGTCCTTCTCTTCACCAAGAATTACAGATGAATGCCATGAAGCATACCCGGGCCATTACATCAGATCGGGCACACGTCACAGGTCACACTCATGAAGAGTTACTTCGCAAATATAAGATCCCCACGGTGCGGGAAGTTGTGGCCAAGGCACATGCAAGGGAAAAACAAGGGCTAGAGTCGGGAGACGGGATGTTTTCCACTGCTTGGCATGCCTGCGTCGAGAACAGCCTCAGTCTGAACACCTGTGATGTGGAGCCGGAGGACGATGATGAGGAAGTGAGGGAGGACTCTGGCAAAGTGTGGCAGTGCCCTCTCTGTGATCAGCAATTTCAAACCATCGCTGCTCTTAAAATACATGCACAGCGTAGTCATCACAAGAGAGACACCACCGAGCAGGACTTTGATAAAGCCACACATGCTCTACACGGGCTGCCGATTTGTCGATTTTGTAACAAGTCGTTTTCGAGATGGCAAACTCTTGCTAATCACATCAAGTTTGATGCTTGTTCGGTTAAACGAAGTGATGATCCGAAGCCTGCAATCCAGCCACAGCCAAGTGATGCAACTACTCCGCAGGAAGATTGTTTGCAGAAACAGGACATTGAAGTTCCTCGTGTCTCGGTGCTTTCGCAGCAGTCGGAGGTGACCCAGGCTGCGGAGAAAGGACTACGATTTTTCATTCAGATCCCAACGTTGACACCGCCCAGGCCGGAGCCACAGCATCAATTCTCGGTGGAGGTCTCGCATGCGGTTGCCAAAGTGCTGCTGCGATATGTGGACGTGTTTGAACAAAGATCCGCGAGAACATTGCTCAGGCGGCCGGGCACACCATTGAGATCAGATCCATGGCAAGACATGAGGAGGTCCACCGTGACATCACCTATGTCAGGGACGGTCCGTCGGAGAATGAGCCGGAGACCCTGGAGCCCCTGGAGGGGATGGCCGTGGCGACCGTGATGACCAACACCTTCCTCGTCCACACAGGTGATCCAGACTCCTTGGGCACGATGCCTACCGGCACCAGCACCTCAAGCCGAGCGTCAGCAGCAGCTGTGAAGACGAAGGCCAGACCGGGTCGCAAGCACCGGCCTCAATTGCTCGGGCTTACTGCAGCACCTTGCCCTAGGCTTAATGAATCGTCAGTGCACTGTGGTGCTTTAGGCGACGGCATGAGGAGCGTGAGTAGGGTGATTCGCCGGATTAGAGCTGTTGTGCAGAGCGCTCGTCAGCAACACATGCAGAGCGGAAGTGCCCTTGTGCAGAGCTTCAGAGCACGGCTTCGAAGAAGGGCATGGCAAGTGGAAAAGATCTGTGCTTTGCACTGTTGTCTACTACCTCTCATGCTGTACTATTGCATCACACGGTGTATGACCTGGGTGGCCAGGTACTCTTTCACGACGTCGTTCAGAACCGCTGTGTGCACCTTATTGGGATATGAGTTCAGTGGCTATACTTGGTGTACATGGATCATGGGCATCAGTTTGTACAAGTGCAGGTCTTCCTATTCTTTGACGGTCATCGACTTCCTGCACCAGCTTGGTCGCACATCAGGTGGGTACTTTCCGTTCATCCGTTCCTCAGTTGGTTCACGACAACATGGCAGGGCGGATTATTTCGAACAGCCGGGTCGGTCCCAAGTCCGGCCCCTACTCTTGCAGTTTAGCAGTTCGTGGTCTTTTTGTGCTGTTGCTCTTTTTTCTGCTTCAGCCTGGGGCCGCCGGAGTAGGAGATGTGAGGGTTGATGTCAATGCCGCCAGGGCATTCGGAATCACTCAACGAGTGGTAAAGCCAGGCGGTTTACAGGAGGCCAGCACGTCTAGTTCCTACGACTTTACCAGAAGAGGCAAAAGGTCCTATCGGAGAGCTTATGGCAGGGCGTGCAAGTTCGGGGGGGCGTTCTTCAGAGGCAAATGGAGGGATCACAAGTGGTTCCAGCCGGTCTCCCTTCGCTCCAATCAACTGCCTAGGACGAAGATTGCTCAGTCTGAGCCGGCCCAAGGTGCGATCCGAGCACTCACGTGGAACGCCGGAGGATTGCATGTGCAGGTCTTCCAGGAGGTAGAGACCTTTCTCAGGGATGCTCAGCTGGACCTGATGATGATCCAGGAGACAAAATGGAGCACGGATATGCAGTGGTCCTCTCGTGGGTACCATTACGTGCACTCGGCAGGAGCTAACAAGTTGGACAAGGTCGGGGGTGTCCTCACCATCATCTCTGACAGATTAGCAAAGGCCTCAGACCTTCAATTTATCGATGTACATCCAGGCCGTTTGCTCCACGTTCGGGTGCACGTCGGGCGACCTTAGATGTGCTCAATTGCTACCAGTACGCACTCAATGATAAGCGTGGCACACATGATTGGCGGCAAGCCTGGCTGAAGAAACTTCAACGTTGTCTGTAGGGACTTCCGAATCGCCACGCGCTTGTTATGGCAGGGAACTTCAACAGCCAATGTAGCCCCAAACCTAAGGTCTGTGGACCATGGACGCTCCCTGTTGGGGACTCCCGCAAGGCAGACAGTTTGGAGCTCATGGACTTGTTGGCTGCGAACTCCCGGTGTGTACTAAACACATGGACCAAACCGGTCCAACTTTATGGCAAGCTTTGCTAAAGTAGGAACCAATGAACTGTTGTCCTGTCCCCGTCCCCCTTGCCAATGCCAGCCCTGTCCGCCCTGTCCCCTGTGTCCCGTTGTCTGAAGTTCTCTGCGGCGCTTGCCCTGAGGTGTGTCCGTGGCATGACTCGATCCCTCGGAGGGTGCCGTCGACACCGACCCGAAGAACTGATCCATCTCCTCGAACATGTACGATCTGTGGGCAGTGGATAGCCTCGCGCCGCACCATGAAGCTTCACTTGCAGCAATCACATGAGGACATGTTCGACAGCATAGCAAATCAGTGAAACAGATCATCGATCAGTGTGCAACACCCTCCATTCAGTGTCACTATTGTGGTGGCCACTTCAAGGGCTGGAGGGGACACATACACAAGTGCACGGCTATCTGGCAGGCAGCCTTGCTTAGCAGCTTGCGCAGGACAAATGGCGTTCGCGGGGGACGAGGAGTTCTTCGGGTCGGTGTCGACGGCACCCTCCGAGGGATCGAGTCATGCCACGGACACACCTCAGGGCAAGCGCCGCAGAGAACTTCAGACAACGGGACACAGGGGACAGGGCGGACAGGGCTGGCGTTGGCAAGGGGGACGGGGACAGGACAACAGTCCATTGGTTCCTACTTTAGCAAAGCTTGCCGTAAAGTTGGACGAGGAGATCAGAATTCTGAAGCAGAACACGGCCATAGTACCGTGGCTAAAGCCGGGGGCAGACTCAGTGCTGCCACACCTGTACAGCGCAGCAGTGGAGTTCAAGAAGCAGCAGAAGGACAATCCGAAGTTCAGCTTGGCCCATGTTCCTCTCCGGGCGGTTCTGGCCCTAGCGATGTTCAGGGAACTAGGAACACGACTGGAGCGATGGTTAAAGACTCCGGACTTGGTGAAAAATGCGGAGACCCGGTGCTGGAGGGATCAAAGTGGATGGAAGTTTCAGGTGTGGAACCTCACGCTTCGTCATCTCGAGGTGGACAGGGAGAAGCCGACGGTACCGGATGGGCAGATGCAGCTAGTGATTCAGCAGATTGTGGAGTGTCTCAAGCAGCCGGTAATTCATCAATTCCATTGTACCCGCAGGATGACGGAGGCTATGGATTCACAGGCCGCGTTCCTCATGAGCATATCGGTACGATCGGAAGCCGCAGCAAAGTTGTGGAGTTTACTGATGGATTTACAGGGCAATTGTGTCCTGCAGCTGCTCGGGGTGGCCTACAAAAGGGAGGGTCTTCGGCCTTCCCCATGGGCTCTTCGACTACGAGAGCTCACCCATCGCTGAGGCTCAACATGATTAACACCGGAAACACATGTTACATGCATGCCACGATTCAGGTTTTGGCTTGGCTTGCGGATGATTACGATGCTCCAATGGAGGTGGCGCTTACCTCACGAGTTGCCTCAGTGCTCAGGCAGTTCTACAAAAAGGGTGAAGCACCCATACGCATCATGCAGGACATTGGCTGGAGGATGCTGATACAAGGGTGGAGGCATGATGGGCAACAGCAAGATGTTGGAGAGTTTTTCACATTCGTGACGAGCAGGCATGATCTTCACATGCTTCAAGGGGAGTGGCAAGCAAGGACTTTGCCACCAAGGGGTGCATATACATGCATGGAGCGTGGGCCGTGCTCTCAGCCCATTCTCTTGCACTTCTGTGACCCACCACCGGGACTTAGAGCTGATCTCAGGCTGTCGGACATGCTTCGCTTTTGGCATCTGGGGCAAACCAAGTTGGTCTTGGGCCTACATGTTGCACCTCACCACCCATTCTGTTCTTTCAACTTTGTCGATTTCGAGTACAAGATGGAGTGATCACTAAAAATCAAACGGAGGTCATCATTGATGATAAACTGTACGTGCCGAAGTTCCAAGGCAGAGGCGAGGACATGTCCTCTCTTCAGTATGGCTTCAAAGCATGTATCGTTCATCATGGGCCAAGCCTTCAGCGTGGCCATTACACGTCCATCCTTCGTCAGGACGGTGTGAGCTGGCTGTGTGATGATGGTCGCCGCGCCCGAAAGGGATCCCCTCGTTTCACGAGGGCACAGCAGTGTAATTGCTATCTTCTGGTTTATAGCCTCGAGGCTGATACCAATCATGCTTAGGCTCTTAGGGGCGGTGATTGGTAGAATCGTCGTGAGTCAGCAAATGCTGAGCGCATTGCGCCTGGTAATACACCAGCTCGAACAACCTGTCGCTTGGCGCGGACTCCCCTGCCGTGAGTGAACTGAACTGAACAACAACAACAACAGCTACAACAACAACAACAACTACTACTACTACTACTACTACTACTAGGCTCCGACCTGGTCGTTTGCCCACCCCTTTTCTCATCTGGCCCCCCTCCGCTCGCCCCGGTCCGACTTCGACTTCGTCTTCAGCACACACACACACATACACATACATGCATGATAACGTCCACCCAGACCCCATCCGTTCTGCCAGAGCATCCATGTCCCAACCATGATAACGTCCACGCAGACCCCATCCGTTCTGCCAGAGCATCCATGTCCCAGCCGTACTACACATGCATGCATGCATACATACATACATGCAAGTTGGACGAGGGAATGTTTCAACTACAGCGAAGGTCACCAATTACCCATTTCAGGTAGGTAGCATCATCTGCAAAACGGTTCGCAACAGGCATTCTGGCATGAGGCCAGGCCAGAAGGCGATGTCGGAAATGATGAGAATCTTCAGAGGCTTGACAGGGATTCGCGGGACCTTTATTTGGTATTCACAAAAAGTGGCAACACCACAAATCCGGCAATGAAGCCGGAAGCCAGTGCCCATCGCTTTCTTGAACGACTGTGGCAGGGCACCGACAGCCGAAAACACTGCGCTGGCCGACAGTTTTGTGTCACGACTTTCAACTCTACCGTCAAACTTGAGTTACAACCGCTGCAGCAAACCTAATCGCAACTGTGCAGTTCCGATGTCATTTCTAAAACCTGTCTGAAGCCCGAATCACTCGTAAATACCGAGTCAATCCAAGTTAACTCACAAACAAAGGTGGGCAAACGATCCGCCCGCAGCCTACTACTACTACTACTACTACTACTACTAGTACTAGTACTAGTACTAGTACTAGTACTAGTACTAGTACTAGTACTAGTACTAGTACTCTAGTACTACTACTACTACTACTACTGCTGCTACTACTACTACTACTACTACTACTGTTACTACTACTGTTACTACTAGTAGTACTATTCCTACTACCACTTCTGCAACCACAACTACAACTACAGCTGCTACTACTGCTTTTACTCGTGAGGCTTCTACTACGGTCATTGTTGCCGCTACTGCTGCTGCTACTGCTACTTTCTACAGCTACCGCGCAAATGAGGTTCGTTTTGAACACATCATACCGCGACACCAGTAGTCGTTCTTGTTGTCATTATTGCAAGTATTGCGATTGGTATTCTGGTCGGCATTGACATCATGAGTGTTCTACATCGCAACGTACATATTGAGCGTCAATGCACAAACCGTGTTTGTGCAAGCCAGCAGTAATACCAGCAATCGGCGCAAAAAACCTGTCGTTCATGCATATGGCTTGCAGGCTATCGCCCAAAGTGTTGTGAGGAGCGTGGCGGCCTGAGCTTGCAGTTGCCAGCTTGTGTAGGCGTCGAGCGGGCGAGATTGTGCAGCGAGCAATTTGGTGGATTCTGACAGGTTTGCCTTCGCCTGCGGAATGTCGGATGTACGAAAGATGGTCTCAGCCTGAGCCTGGACTAGAAGCTTAGAACACAAGCATCCGTCACTCTACCAAGAAACAGAAAAAAGTCTTGCAAAACAAGGTCTGCAAAAGCTCCTGAAATGCCATGAATGGATCGTGGAGCTCGATGTGGGCAGAAATCCGATAGGCCGTTGCACTGCTGCATACATGCTCGGCGAGTCTTTGGACTGTTTGTACCTTGTTTAACCACAGGTGTGGTGGATCTGACCGGTCTCTTTTCCGTTGTCAAAAGCAGCGGGCTTACAGTCAACGCACCTAGCATACCTTAGCCCTCCTTCACAGAATGAGCGAGCCTCCCCCGAGGTTCAAAACAGTGGGAGGTGCTCAACATCTCCAGACTGGCGGTGCTTGCAGGCCCACTGCCGATCGCTACTGTGCGTATCTGTGCGTCTGTAGCTAACAAGCATGAGGGAGGGGACAGGGCCGGAATGTGCAAAAACATCAGGTTTCGAATACACTGCAAATCTGGTCACACCAGAGATGGTGGAGCTTGTTGCTTACAAGAGCTTTCTGGGGAGAGGTCTAGTGAGTTCGGCCACATACAGCCGAAGGAAATGTAACTAACTGCGCCAAGCCACATTCAGCTCAGGTGCCTCCGGAAAGCTCCAGGATTGAAAGATGTGGACTGCAGTGAGAATCGACTCGATGATGATCGTGCCAAAATCATTGTCGAGGCCCTGCTGCCTTGTTGAGCTGAAGTCCCGTGAAATCATCCTCGGGTCATGGCTTCTGGTTAGGGGGAAGCCAGCTCTGCTGATGTCATAGGTGCAGCTTCAACATGCCAACCACTAAAGTTTCACTAAAGCCCGCCTGAATGTCCCAGCCGAAGAAGCCTAACTTCAAAGCGGCCAATGATCTCAGCAAACGTGTTTTTTTCCGAAACACTGCAGAAATAATGTGGGTTTAGTTCGTAAAGGGTAAAGAGGCCTTGAATAGTGTTCGCACGAGGGGTGGGAGGACGCAATCCCCGCAAATCTTTGGGGGGTCTTTGGGAAAGCCTGCCGGGGCGGCAAGCTTCTTCGGCCTGATCCGATATCATGGTCCCCTGCCGCTCTGCTAAGCTGCTACACGCCCACAAATACCGCCAGCTGCGATCCAGCGTCGTGGTTCCCTTGCCCTTTCCTGCTGGCACACGCGCCATATGTATGAGCGTCGATCTAAGCATCCTTGTCTTCAGATTTAGCCAACAAAACGGTTTTAAGATGTAAACTAGTGTGTCCGTGAAAAATTGGCGATGGGTCTGCGAAAGGAAGGCAATAATCCGCGACGGTTTTTCGTAACAGATTTCGGATTCAGAAGGCCCATAAGGGACATGCTCTCAGGCCGTTGGTGTACCGGTCCCAAGCCGGTTATTGCGCAATGTGGCAGTGCACCCACAGCTAGGGTTTGAGATGGTGTGAGGCTTGACAGGGTTGCAAGAAGAATCACAGATGAAACTTATGACTACGATGGCCACTACATGCCATTACTATCTTGTAACAAATCGCAGACCTTTATCTGCAAGACTGTATCGTGCCCCGCTCGTGGGACGCCGAAGACTATAAACGCTCGTATTCCCGCGCCGCACCCCGTATCGCGGCCACACGTTTGGAACATCTAAAGAAGAACCCAACTCCCGAGGGGTTTTTGGGACAAGCGTAACTTGTTGGCATGCAACGTTGTCCGAACATTGACATACCACATGTTTGATCAACAATTTGAAAACCACTCGCAACAAGTTGCCCTGCACAAATTCAAGACTTGCAGAGAACGACATTGGCGCCGCTTACTTGGCCTTCATGAAGCAACTGGAGTAGATAGCATCGTCTTTGACGTCGGATGTCTTACGATGTCGTGGATGTCGTAGAAAGTGGGAGCACAGACCCCAAGCTGTGAAAGAGCACGTTGCACTCCAAGTGGTGCAACAGAAGCCCACGAACTATTCCAGGAGTGGGAGCATGACTTTGGGAGGCGGACATGTACAGGACTACGGCATACTACGGCGGGCACTCGATTTTTGGAGTCGCGGCGTGAGCACGACGTCGGGAGGTGGAAATGCAGTGAATTGTGAACTCGGCATCCGCGTGAGAATGCGAGTTTTGTGGAACATGTGTACCGCGCCACAGCAGGAGCTGCAGAGTCCCCGCATCCGAAGGAGTTTCAGCAACAGAATTCGTTTACACTGAATGTATTACCACTGAGACCAACATGTTGAGTTGAGTTGCATTGGAAAGCCATGAATTTGAATGCTACGCAGACGAAGAAAGACAAAGAAAGAAAGAAACAAACAAACACACACAGAGACACACACACACACACACCCACACACACACACACACACACACACACACACCTACACCTACCCACCCACCCACCCACCCACCCACCCACCTACCCACCCACCCTCTTCATTGCGGCGCGAGAATAAGAGTGTTTAGAGTCGCCACGGGTCCGCCGGGGTGCGACACGGGGCGGGACGGCTGCCACCGAGCGGGGCGCGATACGCGGTGCGGCGCGGGAATATAAGAGCGTTTAGAGTCTTCGGCCCGTACTGCGCGGGGTGCGGGGTTCCACCGAGCGGGTCGCTATATGGGGCGCGGCGCGGTGTTGCACCGATATGGGGGGGGGTTCCGCCGATAGGTCGTGATATGTCGACATGGGGTGCGGCGCCGGATTCTAGCCGGGCAGGTTGCCATCGGGTGGCTCGCGATGCAGGAAGTGGTGCGGCGTGCGGGTGGGTTTGCATCCGATGAGAGTCGCGATACCGGCTGTGGCACGGGCCGGGGCAGGGTTCCATTCACCGCAGCGCAGGAGAGTGAACTGCAACGCATAGTAGCGCTCTATCGGGAGAATCGAGCAGTGGTATCATGTGGTATCGATACGGGGTGCGGCGTGGCATGCGGGCGGGGTTCCACTAATGGGGTTCGCGATACAAGGTGCGGCGGCCGGGGCGGGGTGACTTCTGAGGAGGACCACCGGGCGGTCCTCTTCGTATGGCGATACCTCCCCCGTGCAAACGTTCGTGTCACTGCTCGCGAGATTTGCTTTGCGGATGGTTTTTGGGTTCCTGCGTTGTCCTTGTTTTTGATTCTTTTGGAATGGGGTTTCCAGATGTTTGTGTTTCTCGTGGAAACAACGGGAAACATTGGTTTGAACGCCGTGAAAACTGTCGAAGTTATGTATGTATGTATGTATGTATGTATGTATGTATGTATGTATGCATGCATGTATGTATGCATGCAGCAGTCCTTGGCAAAGATTCGGCATTTAAAAGTGCTACATGTAGCTGCTCGTGCGACCGTGAACCACATCTGCAGGCTGTGAAGGACTCTGAGACAGATCGCTTGCAGCGCTTGGCGATGAACGAATCAGGATGTGGTATTTTGACAGCAGAAGCTCTGAAGGCCACTGTGAAGTATGTGTCGGTGCCAAGTTAGAGAAGCAGTTTGCTCCAGATGGTCAGGCGGTGCTCAGCCAAAGAGCCATGCTGAGTGGAAGGGTCGGATCCGCAGCAGGGGATCTGGAACTATCATTGCAGTTCGTGTTTCTGTGTGTGCAATGCATCCCTCTGCCTGTGAGCGTGGCCTTCATGGCGAGGTCCCCTACGGCAGCAGCCGATGTACAGCTTTGCGGATCCTTGAGCTCAGAGGTGGCAACAAGAGAGACTTGCATCCTGTGGAGTGTAATCGCATCCAGGCAACAAGCTCCATGACGATTGCATGAAGATTTTTTCGCAGGCCAAGCGGGATGTGAGCAGTGGCCTTGTAAGAAAAGTCCCTGCATTAGTGCACGATACTCACTTCACCACCAGAGCTTGGAGCGATCCAACGGTGTCGTCCTGCCTTTCCCTATTGCACTTTCCCTATTGCACCGATCTGCCAGGGTCTGGGAGACAGCATCTCGTTGGAGAAGCTGATCTTAGCAGGGTCTCGCTGGCTTTGTGCGGCAGACAGCCCTCGTCGCTTCAGGTTAAGTTTTCCGCCGCCATGTCGTCAAGCATAGTTTGCCACACACAGATTTTGACATCTATTGCGATCCGACGTGAGACGCCACGGCAGCATTAGTAGGACCGTGTTAGCACCCGGCTACATTTGAGCGAAAGCCTGGAAGCAACACATGGAGCTCTCATGGTCTCCAAGCTCAAGGAGCGGCAACGTCGTTGTAGCACTGGTCTTTGCTCTCTGCGAACCCGAGAGGTAGAAAACTGGGATGTGCTGGACTGGCGACAGCAGCCACGGCGCCCGTGCGCCCGCATGCGCATTTTCAAGAAGCTCCGAGTACTTAACGCCTTGGTTTGTGTTGCTCAGCCGGAACCTCTTGTTTGTGACACCAGCTCAAGCCGACTGCCGTCTTGGCAGGTTCAAGAGATCCTTCGTCCCCTTTGATCCGGATGCAGTGTTGTGCTCGGTATCAGGTATCAGCTGGTAGCTTCTGAGCTGAGCTGGCAGCATCCGAGGTGGAGAGTTTTGGAGGTGCAGCCAAGGTCGCCAAGAGGCGGATGTTGCACCAAGAGAAAGGGAAGCAGCGAAGTGCAGCTGTGCAACCCTTGAAAGAAACACCAAAGAACCTCCGTGTAAGCTCACATTCAAGTGATCAGTCCTGCCAAGAAGCGTTTCCACAAGTTCAGCCAAGATACGATCAGTTCGCGGTTTCCCTTGGTCCACGGGGTCTTCGGCTCGTGTCTTTACCCTGGCCCAAACTTATTGAACATGTCTTGAGTTATAGCAGTGTCGCTACTATGGGCAGCGAGGCAAGACCCAATAAGCCACACACCTGAGAGTTCAGATGAGCTTGCAGTGGAAGGGAGTTTTTGCAGCATCAATGCCTCCGCCTGTGTGCCATGGCTGAAATTGCTCGTGCGCACGACAGTGACTTGGACACATCGCCAAGCAATCTTCGTGGCAACCTGGCTCTGTCAGCCTTTTTACTAAGTAGTGGTTCACTAGCTAGTGCAGCTAGTGCTGCTAGTGGTTTCTGCCTGGCAACCAAGGAATCTTGAACATTGTCCAGACAAACCCCATACTGTCTCTTCTCCTGGTGTGCTTCGTGCCGCTGGGGTTTACTTCCCATGCACTGGGGCTTCAACCATCCTATGTCTTCGGATGCAACTTCATGGCCATCATTCCACTAGCATGGATCATCGGCAAGTCCACCGAGGATCTGTCTGCCGCCGTCGGTCAGACGATGGGCGGCCTGCTAAATGCCTCTTTTGGAAACCTGGTTGAGATGCTTCTTGTTATCGCGGGCATTCGAAGGAACCAGGTCGTCGTGGTTCAGTGCACTCTTTTGGGATCAATTCTCAGCAACTTGCTGTTGGTAATGGGATGCGCCTTTCTCCTCGGCGGATGGTTCTACGCTACACAGAAATACTCTCAACAAGGTGCCTCAACTCAGTGCACTCTGCTCGCACTGAGCGTCTTCTCCATAGCCCTACCAACGCTGTATGCGAAAATTCTCGAGGAAACTCAAGAGTTCGAGCACATGCTGCAGGTATCTCGCTGGTCCTCTGTGTTTCTCTTGGTCACTTACGCCGCATACCTGTATTTTCAGCTCGGAACTCACCAAGCACTCTTCGAAGACCTTTCTGGCGAGGAGGAAGAGGAGGTGCCGGATCTGACACCGGGTTTCGCGGCTGTCGTGCTGGCGGTGGCAACCGTAGTGACATCATATTCGACAGATTTCTTAATCGATTCCATCGAAGGCACTGTGGAAAAATATGACCTCTCTCAGGAATTCATCGGAATTATACTGCTTCCTATTATTGGGAATGCTGCGGAGCACTACACGGCCATCACAGTGGCCATGCGGAACAAGATGGACCTTGCCCTTGGAGTTGCTGCAGGGTCCTCATGCCAGATGGCCCTTTTGGTAACACCGTTCAGCGTGCTCGTAGGATGGGCCTTCGACAGGGAGATGTCCTTGGATTTCCACTCCTTTCAGGTTGCTGTGCTCTTCATATCAGTTTTCCTGGCTTCGAGCATTCTCAGCAATGGCACGTCGAATTGGCTGGAGGGGCTGATGCTGTTAGTGACGTACATCGTGTTAGCGCTGATCTATTTCTTTGAGGGAGCTGGCAAAGGTCACTCTCTTGCAGTGTTGGATTGATGCCTTGTGCCCCTGGACAAAGCAAAGGTTGTTTCATCTAGGATCTATCGTCTATAGCATTGTTTCACAGCAGCCTGCCTGCTTCTACACAGAGTTAACAGCGGACATTGCCTGCAAAAGATGACTGCCTGTGGGGCAGTGGGTAGGTCTGTTGTATATGTATTTAAAGGTGCCTTGCATCCTGCCGTGCAGCACCAGGCGACGCAGCCTCGGAATCGAGTCCATAGAAGATCCTGCCGGGGAGGCCTTCTTCGCTGTGTAGAGCAGCTATTGCAGGCGGCTGTGTGCTTGGAGGATACCACTGTGCCACCACTGCAGAGCTTCCGGGACCTGAAGGATACTCTACCTGAGTGGCTGCTGCAGGCTGCTTTAGTGCCAGCGGGAGACAGGGCTTGCTTTTCAGCAAGATCGATGCTGTTGGACATCCTAGAGCCGATGCCCTCAACTGGTCGGAATCACTTGTTGTTGCTTGCGCCATCAACAGTGGCTGCGAAGGCGTTGCAGAACCAGCCGCCCAGCCCGCTTCAGGCGCAACGTGCGGCATAGCAGTGTGTCGGGACTGCGACTGTTTCCCATGCAGTGGAAAGTCAAGAAGGTCACCTAAGAAAACACGTGCCTTGATTCTTCAGAGGCACAGCTGCTTCCCATCGTGCTGGCAGGCTTCATGATGGGAAGAGCTCTGCGGGGGGTTTTGGATGCGGAGCAACTGAAGTATCGAGACGTCTTGCCGTGGCCACATATTTTACAGACCTCCCCTTCCTGGAGCTGCGAACGGTCCAGGATGTTAACACCCTTGTGCATCCTGCAGGCTCAAACGCCGTTGCTGTGGCGAGCGACATCCCTGCTGGCCAGGAGGTTATGCATTGCGTGGTGCTGTGTGTGGCGAATCTTCCATGTGCGACGCCTTGAGACCAGAACCCCTTGGCATTCGTTTCTTTGGATCTTGGTCAGGCTCTTTCCTACTTGGTGATGGCGGCCCTGCAGGTGGTCCTCTCCAGGTGTACCATAGGTGAGCGCCGTGCGGGTTTTGCATAAGGCCGGCGACCAGCACAAGCTCAGCGAGGAGGCCGGGCCTCCTTCACTTTGCCTTCGAAGTGGAGTCCTATCGCCTGCCAGAGGAGCCAGGCCCCGTCGCCCTGGTCCTCACAGCGACACAGGACGAACGTGTCGAAACGGGATGAAGCGGGAAGCGAGTGGATGTGTTTAAGTGGTGATGTGCATACCCTGGATAAAGATGTGGGAGTGAAGAAGCGACATGCTCAGCAGCTTGAGTCGATGGCCTCAGTCCAAGGGATCGGAGTCCATGTCTTCAAGTGCCAATGCCTGCCCTCCTCCCCCCGCCTTCAACTGCGAGTCTCCGGACCGGCAGCGAGAAGCTCGGCAGCAAAGAACCCAGGGATATCTCTCTGCTTGTCACCTGCGTCCACTTCTGCCATCCGATTGAGAAACTGCGAACTGACGTAGCAAAAAGATGGAGGGTGCCAGACTTGCCGAATGCCCCATCGTTCTTGGAGCACGGAAGCTGTGAGTGTACAGCAGTATGAGGAACAGCTTCTGATGTTTGGAGGTCAAAACAGCTGAATACCCAGGCATCATGTGAACAAAGCTTCCCGAGTGAAGCCAAAGGTACCAAGAGCCTGCCCACGAGACTCTCGCAGCGTCTGCTTTTGTTGAGTTCCCCTTGCCCTGAAAGGGGCTGCAATCGAGATGCAGGACTCTGCAGCCTCTGTCGTGACCTGTGCCATGGGCTTGCTCCGGTCATCAGGCGAGTAGATGGTTTTGACTTCCAGCCTGCAAGCTGCTTTGCTAAAGGGCGCTCTGGCATGCTCTGGCTGTCTTGGAAGGCCGTGGTGGGAAGACTTTGCGTGCTGTGAACCTATCAGGTGGTGGTGCCACTTGGCGATAAGCTTGCGAAGTTGATTTAAAGTCAGAAAAGCAAGCTGCGTGAGTGGTGCCCTCTTTTGCGACCTTGCAGTCGCGTGCCGACAAACTGCGCGAGATGACATCGTGTGGATCCAGCCTTAGTTGAATGACTGGTCTCGGCGGTGCCAAGAGCACAGCAAAACACAGTCAAGACTTGCCAGTCAGAATGCCCTGCAAAGATGGAAAGAAAAGCCTGATTGAGGGATCTGCGCGGCTTGATTGCTTGTGCCGAAGCCGGCGTCGGTGAGTATGCCAATCTGATGTGAAAAACTGATACCCGCTCGACTCAATCACCTTCCGTCCTTCTTTGCCACCCCCCCATGATTGCCTCCCACCAGTGCAACAGGTTCAGGCACCGTTCTCTCACAATTCACACTGCCACGTAACAGTACGACTCCGCTGGCAGTGGATGTTTTGCTTATACTCCAGACGTGTATTATTTTGCCGGTCGGCCGCTGCTGCCCACGTTTCACCCGTGGGCACAAGGACAGCTCAGCCACTTGCCGGGATCGACAATCATGGTGCGAACATTTGCTTTGTTCCATGCACTGACCTCAGCACGGGATCTCGATCAGCAAAGGGGCCCCTCGGAGCCTGAAGCGGATCACCCGGATACATTAAGGGGATGCTTTTCCTCCGTTCCTGCAGCACAGGATGAGTAGAACCTGGCATCCGGATTGGACGGTGGGCGCCTGTGGCACCAAGACTAGCGGTGCTGTTTACAAAATTGTGGCAATCTGACAACCAAGCGAAACAGCACCTCCCAGCGGTTCTGCAACACGTCGCATGGATAAAGTCATCATGTTGATCCCGTTGCTTTGCAGATGCCAGTGCACGGCAACATTGGGCTTTGTTACTTCACTCGATCCAACCGAGCCCAGGATCGCACATCGTCATTGGCACACCGAAAAGGATCCACGACCTTGCCAGCAAATACCAGGTCCTTGGGAAGCCACTTTGCGCCTGTTTTGGTGCCTTTGCACCTGCACAGGTGTGCCTTCTCAGGGTGACGCTTCTTGTGCTGGATGGCGTGGACCGCATGAGAAGTCTGGACCATCTTCCGGAGGTCTGCTCCTCAATCAGTTGCTGAGGCTTTCTTTAGCAGTCTTCGTGTTTCCTGATGTGTCCAGCATGGTTGTCCTGCCAACTTCAAGGATCCTGATGCCGTGATCGATTTCTGCTCACAGCGGCAGCTTTATGCAAGAGCCCCCCTCCCACATTCATGCTATCAATATCTCGCCGCAAAGCGCTTTGCCAAAGATGACAGTTAAGGCCCGAAGTACACACCCCGACGTGGCACGATCAATCCATCCCTCCCTCACGACCCAATGGTCAAGCTGTGTAAACGACCATGGATTTCTTGGCGCTGCTTAAATGGCGGAACCGGCCGCAGCGCCCTGAAGTTTACAGGCTCTGAAATGTCCAGGCAAGTGCCCAACCCCCCCCCCCCCTGTCTAAAGTCGCTGGAATGTTTCTTGAACTCAACTGTGCAGGTTTCTGTGCTGATGGAGGCTGTGTTTTTGCTTTCTTGGAACCCTGCACGGAAGAGTCACGAGATTACTCGAGGTTGCAAGGCGAGCCCAGGCATCAGCAAATGGAAAGAGGCGGACGAAGTTCCAGACTCTCTTCAAATTGCGAGATCTGCAGCTGAGGCTCTTCGTTTCCGGCATCGCCGGTGGCGTGATGAAGTCCATGCCTCAGTCGCTTTTGGATCTGCGCAGGTCTGCCAACAGCCTCGGTCTTCACCCGATTCTTCCCCGGCAGGACCGATCTTCAGCGCGAGTTTGGCGAGTTTGGTCATGTCACGGACTCCGGCGCATGTAAGCCAAGCCTCTGTGGACCTGTCGTCGGTCCTTCTGCAGATAAAGATCCTTTTCCGTCTTGAGGACATCGAGCTGCCCTTGACTGCAAAGGGTGTTGCATTCGTAGAGCCTTTGCCTGAGAATCAGGCTCACCGTTCTACCTAGTCAGTATTTGTCCGAGCACCTAGAAGGTTTGACAGCGCTTTGGATGCTGCCGACGCGCCGCGGGCACCCAGATGTCTCGAACGCCAGGGAGACACATGACATGACATGTAGTAGACTTGATGTGGCTAATGGAGCTTGCATCATGGCAGCTGAAGCCAACAGTCTGCCAGTGGCTGAAGGCAGAGAGGGGTGACCGGCCGCAAGCTGAAAGGGATGGTGCTGAAGGTGAAGATGGTGGCCGACTGAGACACACCTCCAGTCCACCAGATCAAAGCTGGTGTGGCTGGTGGATGCTGGTGGCCCAGGCCGAGATCCAGAAGGGCGGCAACACTGGTTCGGGTCCAGGCCGTGTGTGGCCCTGAGAGGCGATCACCAGGCCCCTATAAGCCCGTGGCTTTGTGCGCTGCTAAGCCAAGCGGGTCAAAGGACGTGAAGCCCAGCGCCCAGAAGATGCAAGAGGCCCCCGCCAGAAATTGCTAAAGCGCCGGCAAGCTGGGCTTCATGCCAGGACGAGCCACCGCGGCGCGCGCGGAGCCCTGAGCGCGTGAAGCCCAGGAACTTGAGAGAGCTTGAAGTCGACTCAATCGCCAAAGTCGAAGCCGAGGCTCGGATACTCGAAAAAGACAGGAGCCCCATCGAGCTTAAGCTGCCCTCTGCCGGCATCCCCGTGGCCCTGCACGAGTTTTCTCAGCTCTACGTCAGCTTGTCAGGAGGGCTCTGAGCGGATGCGTCGTCGCAGCCGGAGCGGAAGCGATGGAGTTTCTCTCGCACCAAGGGCTGCGGGCTTTCGTTGCACAGGAGCCGAGGGCACCGGCGTGCCCCTGAGGCCTGGTCGTTCGATGTGGTCTTCACGGATCTCTATGAAATTCTTGGGGCTTGCATGGGCGTGTCCGCAACATGGCCAAAGCCGGCTCAAGCCCTCGAATCGCTGCAACCGCCGCGGCTGCCAAGCGGGTCCCTCCCTGTTCGGAATTGCAAAAAGTCTCCGAGGCCATGGATGCCAAGGCCGGAGTAGTGGCACTCATGCTTTTCGTAAATGTCAGGGTTCGTCATCGTAGGAATGCTTGCAGGAAGCACAAAAACAGATTGAGCAGATGAAGGACATGCAAATGATCTCAGAAATTGTAGAGACCTCGAGCAGACTGCTTCACAGGACTTCATTTTGGCTGAGGCCAAGGACAAGGCAAGAGCTATGCGAGCGCAAGAGTTGACTTCGTTGGAGTCAGAGTTGTGGAAGTTATGGAGGCCGGAGACATCACGAAGAAAGGCGAGGAGGAGTTCAGCATCGAGGTGTGGCCCCTGAGCCGCTGAGTGGCTCAGTATATCCCAACGGACAAGAGCACGGCAGGTCTACCGCCTCATCACAGAGCAGAAGGACCCAGCACACGGTGACCTACACACACGCACACGCACACGTGTGCAGATCCATGAGTTCCTCTCACCTGAACACGCCTGTGCTCAAATCCAAAAAGGTCGTGAGTTCTCAAGTCAAGACTGCTCAGCAAATCTTGTACATCTTGTACAGACCTCTGATCATGTGCTCACTGCAAGCACACAATCTAGCGTCACGGATTGCTTCACAGCACCTCTATCACCGTCTTCGTTGAGCAGTGGATGCTACCAGTAGAAGGCTTACTCTCTCCATGCTGAAATGCCAAACTCTCAAACTTGCATGATCTTGCATGCACCCTTGGCTGACAGGGCTCTCTCTCTCTCTCTCTCTCTCCCACACACACAGCTCTATATATATATATATATCTGTATGTATGTATGTATGTATGCATGTATGTATGTATGTATGTATGTATGTATGTATGTACGCACACAGACACACACACACACATACGCACACACACACACACATACAGACACACGCAATCAACCACAAGCACAAGCACAAGCACAAACACAAACAAATACACAAACACAAACACAAAAACAAACACGCAGACACACACACACACACACGCAAGCACACAAACACACAAACAGACAAGAAGACAAACAGATAAACAGACAAACACACAACCACAACAACAAACACAAACACACTCACACAAACACAAACACAAACACATGACAAACACAAACACAAACACACACGCAAACACAAACACAAGCACAACACAAACAGACACACAAACACGAACAGAAACAAACTGAAACACACACACACACAAAACACAGACACAAATAGAAGCACAAACACAAACACAAGCGCAACAAAAAACGCACAGAAACGCACGGAAACACACAGAAACGCACAGAAACACACAGAAACACACACACACACACGAAAACATACAAAACACACACGCAAACGCAAACACAAACAAAACAAACACAAGCATATGCGCACGCACACACACACACAAAACAGAAAAAAATAACACCCCACACACACACAAACAAACAAACAAGCAAGCAAGCAAGCAAGCAAGCAACCAAGCAACCAAGCAACCAAGCAACCAAGCAACCAAGCAAGCAAGCAAGCAAGCAACCAAACAACCAAACAACCAAACAACCAAACAACCAACAGAACAAACAAACAAACAAACAAACAAACAAGCACACACACACAGACACACACACACACAACCACACACACACACACAACCACACACACACACACAAACAAACACACACACACAATCAAACAAACACACACACACACCAACAGACACAGAACAAACAAACAAACACAAACAAGCAAACACAGATAAACAAACACAAACAAACAAACGCAAACAAACAAACACAAACAAACACACACACACACACAAACAAGCAAACAAACAAACAGGCAGGCATACAAACAACAAACAAGCAAGCAAACAAACAAGCAATCAAACAAACAAACACACAAACACACACACACACAAACACACACACACAAACACACACACACAAACACACACACACACAAACGCACAC